CTGAGTCACACTATGCTATGGAGTCTGCAACGCCCATTCCTTTGGTTTTTTACTGAATTGGCAACACAGCTGTGTGCTCTGGCTGTAGTCTATCCCTACATCTGGTCCTTCCAGCACATCACCTACAAGTGAGGGCTAAAGACCACCAGAAAACCCAGCGCCCTGCCCTCCACTGTTCACGTACCTTGCTCTCTAAAATCTTCCGCAACCTGGACTCAATAACGCTGTGGAACAGGTTGTAAAGCCACCTGCAGAGAGACACAGAGGGAAGCCCTGTCTAGCTCAGATCCATACTGCAGAAGCATGTGCCCAGGAAAGGGAGACCCTAGAGATGCAAGACCCTGGGAACATCATTCCCACACCAATTTGGCATCTGGCTTTGCCCCAGGGTTTCCATTTGCAGACTCACTGGTAAACCACAGAAGTCTGGTAAACCCAGCCCCTTTAAATGTGCAGCCACAGCAGGAGAAATTCAGGCCAGATTTAAGACCAAGCCACCTCAGATTTGCCAACAGCCTACTCCTTGCACCAGGGCCACATTCCCATGGCAGAGTCCCATTCCCATGGCAGAGTCACATTCCCATGGCAGGTGGGTGAACACACAGAGTTTCCAGACCTTCCAGTGAAGTTACATACCCAAGCCTGCCCGAAAAAAGCACTCGGACTTTGGAGATGCGGACACTGCAGTCGGAGGTGCTGATGGTGGGCTTCCCAGTGGTGTCACTGCCCAGACTCAGGAAAATTTTGATGTAGACATTTTCCACCTTCAGGTTAAAAGACCCATGGTCCCGGCTGCTGGAAGGGGGGGACAAGAAAGGGATGTTTGTTGATGCTGAGGCCTGGTGAAGGCACCTCAAATCAGCTTCAGGATTAATCTATGTGGATCAGTCTACCCCTTGTACAGAGCATCCAGAGGAGACTGGGAAAGTGTTTAAACTCAGGGGAAACAAATTTCACTGGCACATTAACTAGGAGAGATAACCTTTAAATAGAGGGGAGTGAAGGCAAGTAGGGGTGGTGGAAGAGAGACCTGAGGGTCCATATACAGCACCCCCAACATGTGCTTTGTTCCTGCTTCCCACCCTATTTTATCCATCATATCTGGGTGAGCAAAGTGACAGCTGCCCAAAACACAAGGGAGAGCGAGAGAAGAAAAAACCTGTCCAGATCCAGAGAGGGAGACACAGAGTGGGTGCCTGAACAGGGAGAGGAAAAGCTGGGAACTCACACAAAGAGAAATTTCACCCGCCAATCCCCATCCAGCTCAGCAAAGGCGTTGGAGATGGAGACTTGCAGGCCCACATTGGAGATTGGGGTAATCCGTGTGTATGGCAAGTGGAAATCACGAAGGCGCAGTCTAAAAATATATGAATTAAAAGAAAAGTCATGTTACAGTGGTTCCTTGCTCCCAAGTGCAAGACTAGGGAGGGAGGGAGATAATCAGGGAGGGAAGGAGGGTGAGCAGGACAGAGTGGAGTCACTACACTGGCAGCATCCCCAGCTGCAGTTCTGCTGCTGCAAAGCTATGCCTGGCAGGGACACACAGAGCAGAGTGGCACCTTTGGGAATGTGGCCCTTGCAGCCACCCACAGCAGCTCCAAACGCTGCGCTGCAGGAGCAGAGAGGCACCCAGGGCAGCAGGGAGCTTGCATTTCCACACGGGCTGGGCTCCTGATCCACGTGGGAACGTGTGCCCTGGTCCCACAGGCAAGGCCATCTCCACTACCCCAGCTTTGATTGCACACAATCCACCCATTCCCAGGGGGCTGTGACCCCAGTTCCCTTTCTCCCCATGGGTAAGGAGTGAAACAGAAACATACCTGCCTGCACCAAGGACAAGACAAACATCTCAGGGAGCTGAGGAAGGGACAGGATGGTCCTCACTGCTCCAGGGGCTCCCCACCCTCCCCACCTTTCCTGCCCCTTGCCTGGGTTGAGGGGCAGTGGGTGGCTCCTAGGCACTGGCAGGGCTCACCTGGAGAGCTCATAGTGTACCTTCCCCACGTGCAAGACACGAGAGTCACCCGAGATGTCTGACAGCTTCAGCTGGGCCAGCTTCTTCTCCAGGATTGCGATCCCCTGCTCGTGGGCTGCAGGGACACAGGGAGAGCATCACCCCCACTGCCACAAGAGCTGGAGCACACACTGAGAATGCAGCAGAAGGATCAAAGGAAAGATCCAGGTGATGCTGCCTCCCAGGCTGGCTTTAAAGCAAACCTCTGTGCATAGAGCCCTGAGGTACACAGGCAATGGTGCCTGATGCCCTGCTTGCAGCCCCAGGGGAAGGTGGTGGCTACAGAAAGGAGAATGTCCCAGTCCTCACCCTCCATATAGTGCACTCTGTGAGAGCTGCAGGAGGTCCAAGGCACTAGGCTGCTGTGTGTTTCTCACACAGTGTATTTCAATCCATAACTGTGCTCTGCTGGAGCCAGGGCTCTGCCTGCTTCGATAAAACCAGCACGGGGCCCATCCATCTCTGTCACTGCCCCACCCCAGAACTCCCCAGCTCCTTTCTCCTCTGCAGCTCCCTCCTCCAGGGTTCTCAGCTCAGCTGCCTGGACGTGCTGTGGGACCAGCACTCTCCTGCTGTGCTGGCCCCCGACACTGCCTGGCTGCAGTTCCCTGAGACTCCACAGTGCTGATCCCTCTGCAGATCCTCCATCACGATGTGGGCTGGGGGGCATGCAGGTGCAACAGGGGAAGCCCTGGAAAATGGTGCATTTGGCACCCCTGTCCTAGGATTTCCCCATCCTGCCCCTGTGCTCCTCACATGGCCACCCACAGCCAAGGATCCCCCATCCTGCCCTGGGACCCTGCACTTCTCCCAGGGTACCTGGCTCCACACCTCTGCCACCAGCACATCTGTGAGGAGAGAAATCAGAAGCAGAACCCACCGTAGTCCAAGCCTGCCTGGGTGATCCTCACCACAAAGCCGGGGTTGGTGGCTGTGGTGATCCTCACCACAAAGCCGGGGTTGGTGGCTGTGGTGAGTGCCAGGCACAAGGCCAGTGTCCCGCAAGCCACTGCCAGGCTCTGCACTCCCATCCTGGCTTCCTGCAGTGCTGGGCTGGGCTCTCCCTGCCCACACCACCTTTATATCCCTGCCAAAACGGGAACTGCAACTGAGGGTGGTGTGTGGAGCCATGGGGGGCGTCCCCAGGACTTCCTGCTTGGCCACTGCCCTGCTCCGCTGTGCTGCTGGCACCATGGCATGGCCCAGTACAGAGGCACACCTGGTGCCTCTCACCAAAGGCAGGGAAGGGGCACTGGAAACGGGGGGGCAACAGCCTGGTTTCCAGCTCTCTGTCAGTGCCAGCAATCCCTGCCTGTGGCATCCTCAGTGGAGCAGAGCTGGGTTTGGCACTGCCAGCTGAGCCTGACAGAGCCACATTCCTGCAGCCTGTACCTGGCAAAAGCTGGGAGCAGCCCAGGCTGCCCAGGAGCAATGTCCCAGCCCTGCTGCTCTCCATCTCTGTCCCATGGCTCTCCTGGCTACTCTGTGAGCTGCTTCTGTCACACCACAGACCTGCCAATGGCACCAGAGCATCCTAGGGGCACAGCAGTGGGCAAAGAAGGCAGGTCACAGCTTGTCACCTCATGTGAGCAGACCCCAGAGACCCCCACACCCAGCAGGGCTGGCAAAGGAGCACCCAGCTGGGCTGGGCAGCTGCACCAGGGCAACTTCAGTGGGGTGCCCTGCACCTCCAGAACCTGTCACAGGGCTCCTGCACAGAGCAGCCATGCACAGGAGGAGACATCCATCAGCCCAGGATCAAGCTCCAAAGACAGCACTTCTGAGGCCTGATATGTCACAGCTCTTGTCACAATGGCTGGAGATAGGGGCAGGAGCTGGGTGCAGCCAGGCAGGTGTGAGGGGAGAACACCCCTGAGCCCCTCCAGCCAGGAGAGCTTGGCTGGCTGGTCTCTCCTTGCAGGACAAAAGTGAGGGAAGAAGAAATGCTTGAGTTACTTTCATTTCCTGTTGGGGTCCAGCCTGACCTGCCTGACCCCACCCTTTGGACAGGTAAAGGCTTCTGCTGCCGAGCTGCTCTGCCTCTTCTGGGAGTGTGGGGTCTGCTCCACTGGGGAAAGGCTGGCTCCGCCAGGCTGCTAGAGAAGGAATGGGAATGGTCAGATGGGAACCACGAGCCCAGGAGAACAGGAACTTGCAGGAGTCCTGTGCTGCTGCTGTCCTTTGCCCAGGACTGCAGGTCAAGACCCCTCTCTCCACTGTCCGTAAGCCACCCCTGCTCCCCAGGGCCGGAGTCCCTCTGGCCCCACACGCTCCTCAGCACGTGTGGGCAGTTCCCCATCCTGTCCCAGCTCTTTCCACATGTCTCTCATGATGCCATGGCTCAAGCCACCCTGCAGCCACGTGCTGGGACTACCCAGGGACAACAGGAGCTGGGTTGGGGCTACGAGCAAGCACACCAGATATTTTTGCTATCAAGGAAATCCGGGCACATCTGTGTTCCCTGGTGGCACTACCAGCCCGGGAATTCCCCGGGCAGCTTGTGCCTGTGCCAGAGGAATGATTGCTGTGGCTCTCCAGCTTTCCACCAGCAGGTGTATGTGGGCTGGGGAAGTACCAGGGAAAACCTGTGGACTCAGCGAGAAAAGTGAGAGCAGCATGGCTGGGTTTGGAGAGAACTTGGAAAGAGAAGTTGTCAGCCCAAAATAAAACATCCCTTACCCATTTCCACACAGGGCAAGTCTATTGTCACCCATAGAACTGGGCTGTGGTCAGGACCAGTGGCAACTGTGGTTGGCCCTAGACCAACAGGGACTTCAGCAGAGAGAGGTCATGGTAGGCATGCCTGCCATGATATCAACCAGCTTCTCCCTGTGCAGAATCTCCTCCTTAAGCCTCTCGGCCCTAACAAAGGAGAAGGGTCCTCATGAGGCAGGGCCTGCCCTCCGTTACTCCTGCAGCCCTTCCCAGCTGCTTTCACCCCAGGGAAGGGCAGGTGCTGCCAGTGGGATACACGAGACCCATCCCGATGCGGAGCGGAGCACGAGCCTGCGGCCGCCGGGCCTTCAGCGCCTTGAGGTGCTGCAGACGGTTCCAGATGGCCTGCTCGGCCTTCTCCCTGGGGAGCCAGGACAAAGGGTATTCCAGCTCTTGAGCACAGCCCCAGCCTTAAGCGGCCCAAGCCCTTTGTGAGGAGAATTCAGCTACAGGCAGGGAATCCAATGGCACCTGAAAGTGCCGTTTGTGGTGGGGGGATTATGTCTTGACTTTATCTTATCTGCTATCACTTTGCTTGCCTGAGAGCATCCCCACTACAGAAACACCGCAGGGACTAAGCTCTTGGGGAGAAAAACTGCCTTGGCCACAGTACAAGGTACCCTGCAAGTGACAATGAGTATTTGGTGTCTTCTGCATTCATAAAAACCAAGCATATTCCCTTTATATCAAGTTGCTCCTAAACATATTTCTCACATTTTTAAAGTACAGACATTTTACTAGAGAATCACTTCATGAGAAGACAGAATATTTAAAAATAAAATCATTAATTGTGTGGGTCTCTCACTGCCAATGGCATATATACACAACGTACACTACCAAAGAACTTTTCACTACCCAGATAAGCCATTCATAACCCAATTAATGTTGTAAATTAATTAATATCCAGCCCTACTCTCAGTTAAACAGCCATTTTCACACCTGCACACTCCCTCATACAACACCTTTACTGCCTTGTTTTCAAATGGTAATTCCTTAAAAACTGTCCCAAACCAGTGACAAACATTTCCTTACCTCACAGAACAGGTGACAAGAAGAACCACATCTGCCTAAATCAAAAGCAACAAAAAGAGAAGAATCTGTAAAAGCCAAACAATAAGTTCTCATGCCCTGCCCAGGAAACCTGAAGAGGTAGACTATAAAACTCACTTAACTCAGGGAAAAAGACCTGTCTGAGTACATGGCAGGTTTCAATAAACAGAGTTGCAAGAAAGAAACAGAAGACAAGCAGAGTCTTCACTAAATAGTAGAAGTAACCTCAAAGATGAGACAGGAGGATCCCGCTGTGTCAAATCCCTCTCCAACTGAGCCCAGTAGTTTAAAGAAAAAAGACAACCCACAGCTTTCTACCGCACTTGTTAAGTAGTTTCCTTCACTGCACAGAACTCAGACCGCAAAACTCGTAACATCTCACAGGGTTGCACTCCAGAGAAAAACTGGGACTTGCAGGCACAGCCAGGGCATGAGGGTTGTGCTCCAGGAGAGCTGCCAAGGTGCTTCCTTACCTCATCCAGCTCCTTTGTCCTGGCATAGCCATTCTTCTGCAGGATGGCCCAGGCGATCTCAGTGTCACTGACATTCATCTGGCAGCCGTAGGTCTCCAGGTACACTGCAACAAAGGGTGTGTGACACAGGAGCCTGCTCAGCTCTCATCCACCACCTGTCCTATCCCCTGCTCTATGGGAAAAAGCCTTCAATCCCACCACTGGAGTCAGGGAAGCAGCGCAAAAGCTGCCTGCACCTGCAGCCCACAGAGAATAAACCAAAGGACAGACTCTGGGAAACCTGTGTGTTCTGCAGCACAGCAGGGCTGGGCCGTGACTGCAGAGTAGCAGCAGCTGAGTCCTTACTGAGACACAATACTCATGGCCACGAAAACCATCCCTGCCATGGCACCAGAGCCCCACAGGGGCTGCCACAGCCCCACTGACAGCCCAGCACACACTGCGAGTAGGTACCAGAGCAATCTGCTCTCTGCTCAGCTCCATGGTGGAAGAACACACACGACTTTGCAGCCAAGGACTAAACTCCTTTCAGTGTCAAAACCCGCTCAGGGCCCCAAAAACTCTCAAACAACCCATTTCCCCCACTCTGCTCCAGCAGTGAAGCACCACTGTCTGCACCGGCTGCCCTTGACCCGGCAGAGAGGCTACAGCAGCGGGGTTCTGCTGAGCCAAACAGCTCCTGCCCCGAAGACCCACAGACCTTTCGGGCTCCCGGGAGTAGAGCCCGGCTCAGGCGGCAGCTCCGGTGACGGCGCCGAGTGCCCCGCAGCAGCTGCCCTCAGGAAGTGCTGCAGGTCGGGCCCCGCGGGCNGTGTGTCTGGAAGCAGAGCCTGACCCCCACCTGGCTGCCCCCTCCTGTCAGGGAGTTGTGAGGGTGTGAAGGTCCCCCCTGAGCCTCCTTTTCTCCAGGCTGAGCCCCCAGCTCCCTCAGCCTCTCCTGGTGCTCCAGCTTCTTCCCTGGTTCCCATGCTCTTCTCTGGACATGCTCCAGCACTTCCATGTCCAGGAGCGAGGGACCCAGAACTGGACAAAGGCCTTGAGATGTGGGCCTCACCCATGCCAGGGGACAATCCCTTCCTTGGTTTGGTTACAGGCCATGTTGATACAGGCCAGGATGCCCCTGGCCTTCTTGGCCACCTGGTGCTCATGTTCAGCTGCTGTTGGACAGCAGGGCAGGGCCTTTTCCACTGTGCTCTTTCCAACCACGCTGCTCCAAGGCTGGAGTGAAGGGACAGGCCAGTGGGACACAGGTGTTCCATGGTGCCTCACCATGGCCATGGAAACAGCCAAACCAAGTGGTCCCCACCCAGCTCCAGCTCCCATCTGGCCCTGTATAGCCAGAGATGCAGATAGTGACACCAGCACGATAGCCCATCACCAACACCTTTATTGCTGCTCACAGGGAGGAGGGGATGGGGCAGCCCAGGGCAGGGCACCCCAGCTCATGGTAGCACCATGTGAGGCCCCATCCGAGTGTCTGAGCCAAGGCAGCAGTGCAATGCAGTGGCAGGACTCGTGGTCTTTGGCTCAGGCAGGGGAGCATGGAAGGGCAAGTGGTGAGAGGAGCATATTTTGTGCTGAAGGGCTCTCATCACCTTATTTTCATGCCTGGGGTTGGAAGTGAACATCTGCTCCAAGCAGCATGAAATTCTGTGAGAAAGAGAGAAAGCACTAGGCTGCTATGGGCCCTGGCAGCTGCATTCCCCAGCACCCACCACATCCCTGAAGGGAAAATGTGCCTACCCCTGTGCCTATTTTGCCCCATGGCAGGCTCTGGAGATATTTCAGAGCCACACCTCACTTCAGCTATTCGGCATCCCCATGGTGACCCCATTATTGGGCTTCCCCACCACAGGGACACTCTCGGATCCCCTAGACGTGGTACAGCTCCTTCCATCAGGATAAGCAGGGTCTGCATCCTACCAGGCACCACAGAATCCATCCAGGCAATGACAGCTGGGGAGAGTGGGGATTTGGGGCTGACACTGCTGGAAAAAGTGTCGTGGGAAATTCAGACCCCCCCATTTAAGAACTGGAGAAGGATGTTGTACCATCCCAGACTCCCACCATGCAGCCAGGAAAAGCAGAGCACTGGTTTGCAGCTGAGAGCATCTTTTCATCCATCACTTCCCAGCACAGCTTGGGGAACTGGATTTGGAGGCTGTGCTGGTAAGGCAGGGCTTTAGGGACAGCAGGATGGTCTCCAGCTCATGGGCAGGTGCTCCCCCTCACTCACCTGGTAGAACTTCACGAGGGTATTGGAGAGCTGGATCCTGTCCAGAAGTGGCAGAGGGAAACCCTCATCTAAACGGGCTGGAAAAGACAGCACATGTGTCTACATTGGGGTGGGGATGGGAGTCAAGGGAGCACAGCGCACACAGAGGAGGCGGCCATCTCCTTCCCCCAGCCCTTTCCTCTCCTCCGCTGCTCCTGGGGCAGGCAGAGGAAACTCCCCCCAAGCTCCACAGAAGGGCTGTGTGTTGTGCCGTGAGAGCCCCCTTGGCCCCTGCAGCCACCAGCCCTGCTCTGGTCTGAACTGCTGGCGAGGCAGGAGATGCAGGGATTTGGGGAGAGGGTCTGGAAAGAATTAGGATATGCACAGGGCTCATTTTTTCCATTGCGTTTGCTGCTGGGAGCCTGTCAGAGCAGCAAGAGGCTCCCACTGCTTCACTGCCGCCTCCTGCACGCACTTTTCCCTGGATCAGCCTTGGCAATGAGGATTTAATTAGTGAGCTGGGACCACTAGAGTGGAGCAACCTGAGCGGAAGGTGCTCCAGCACCCCCATTCCCCCCAGTAAATTCTCACCATTGAGACGTGGGAGCAGGGTACTGGAAGTCAAGGCGTTCATTAAGGACTGCATCATTCGCACCTAGGGATTGGGGAGAAGGGAGGAAAAGCTTTAGCCTGTGGGCCAGGAGACATGCAGGCACTGGAAGATAATTAGGAAAAGGAGATGAGGAGCTGGGAGGGGCACACATTTTGNGGAGGGGGCCGGGGGGGCCGGGGCTGCCCGTCCCCGCCCGCGGCTCCGGAGGCGCCGGCGCCGGGAAGAGCCGGCGGCGGAACGGGGACCGGCCGGGAGCCCCGGGCCGGGGAGAGCCGGCGAGGAGGAGGAGGAACGGGACGGTCTGTGCCACGGCCCCCGGCCCCTCTGCCACTTCCTGGGAAACATGGTAATTCCTGGGGCATCCCTGTCCCTGCCGCTGGCCCCCCCCTGGCTGCCGGTCCCGCGGGCACCGGGTGGGCACGGGGTGGGCAGCGGCAGCGACAGCAGAGGGAGGTCGGGAGCGAAGGTGGAAGGAGGTGCAAAGGCAGAGGTGGGTGTGGAGGTGGGTGTCAGGGCAGAGGTGGGTGGAGACAGATGTGAAGGTGGAGGTCAGTGCGAAGTTGGGGGATCAGGTGTGGAGGAGGACGTGGCCGCGTGGGCAGGTGTGTGCGGGGCTGCATCCCGCCATGCTTAAACTTCCCTGCAAAGTTTGTCAGGGGGCTGCGGGATGCGTGCAGCGAGCGGGAGCTGCCGTGCGAGCCGTGCCAGCGCAGGGATGCTCGGCACAGCCATTGCACCGCAGCCCGCACGTGCCGTTGCCCCGGGCTCTGCTGAGCGCGGCCTCCCGCTCCGGGCCAGGCTGAGCGCTCGCATCGTGTCCTGCCAGAGATGGGGACAGCCAGGGCTGCGGAGAGGCAGAGGAATTGGTATTCAGGACTGGTCCCAGGCTCAAACCTCGCTCCTTCCTGAGCAGGCGGGAGAAAGGAGCGAGAGCTGAGTCACCCTGTGGCTTTGGGCATGGGTTTAACAACTTTACCACACAAAACCCCCAAAGCCCAGCCCTTCTTGTTGATGTAAACCAGTTAAAAAATATGGGTATTTGGGGAGAAATATCAATCTCTATTTAACAGCACTTTGGCTTATTAAAATGGAAATAGCTTTGCACATGTAAATCTCCTTATGCTCCCTAATGCCTTTGTTCCGGCTCCCTCCCAGTGGGTGGAGAGAGACTGGGATAACTGGCTGCTTTTGGATTCCGATGGGCTCCTGGCCGGCCCGGATGTGGCTTCGCCTACGAACTCGGAGCTGCTGCACCATGGTTACCCCAAAAGCCTCCCCCAGTGATGAAGTGCTTTGTGAGACTCCATGAAAACATTTTTAATCAGTCATTCCAGGCCAAAATATTCCCCAGCACAACTCGGGCTGTGTCTGGTGCCTCCATCAGTCCCTGGTTCTCTCCTGACTTTGGCTCATGCGGTCCCTGCCACTGGATGAAGTCCTGGGTGATAGGGTGACAGGAAACAGCCTCAAGTGGTGCCAGGGGAGGGTTACACTGGATATTAGAAAGAAATTTCTTCACTGAATGGGTTGTCAAGCCCTGGCGCAGGCTGCCCAGGCAATGGTGGAGTCACCACCCCTGGGAGGATTTAAAAGACTGTTGGAGGCAAGGCAGGCTATTCTGGCTCATCTCTCATGGCAGCATTCGGAGCTGGATGGATTCTCCTGTGCTGTTGTGGCTGCTGGCCTCAGTGTTGGGACGGGGAGGAAGTCAAGCTCGGCAGTGTTGGGCATGGAGGTGGTGGGCACCCACCTGGGTTCAGCACAGGTGGCTGCACCAGGGCCTCACTGGAGCAACATGGAATGGGGTGCTGGACTTTGCCCTTCATCAGGGATTTTCCAGAGTCTCAGCCCATTCTAGGAACTGTACACAGTAAGACAAAGCTTGGGGAGAAAGGTCCAAGGACGAAAAGCCTGGACAGGAAACAGTGGCAGATCAGGGCCCTGAGAAGGGACTGGCTTTGCCTCCTCTTCTGCCCAGCTCTGTGGCTTCTCCTTTCAGGTGCAAGGGCAGGAGATTCCTATGCCAAGACATGGAATAAAAGACATGAATTAACCAGAGCATGACTGCAAAGTGCTTTAGCTAAAGCGCATTAAAACTAATTAAGCTGAATTAACCGTGGCCCTTTTGTCTCTGTATGGGCTCCTGGACCAGGGATTAGCTGCCTGAAACTAATGCTCACCTTGAGCTAATCCCACCAGGCTTCCTGGGTGCTCTTATGGGAGAAGGACCCAGCTGCTTGGAGGATGCTCCTCTTCCCCACTCACCCATGAGGTCCTCTTGACAGCTGTGCCAGACTCATCCCTGCGGTGCCTGGAGCGCAGCCCGGGCATCACGGGAGCCGTGGGATGGCTTCTCTCCATGTACCAGGCGTGCCACACAGCAGACAGCTCCTGCAGCACTGAGAGGATGAACTGGGAACTGCTGGTTCACATGTGGCACAGACCCAGTGTCCTCACCCCACTCTGGGGCAGTGCAGGGAGGTGCAATGCAGCAGAATGCTTCCCAGAAAAATACAGGAATGATTTTGAGTTTGGCAAATTCAGCAATGAGTCTGGACCAAAACACCCTATCCATCTTCAGATGTTTGTCCTTCCTCCCATCTGCTGCATTCCTGCAGCGAGCTGCAGAGCCCGGCACAGCCCCACGATCTGTCTGGTCTGACTCTGCTTAACCCCTCGGCTGCTGCGGCTCCTCCGCCTCCACACGGCTGGCAGCCGAGCAAGGCGGCTGCTGTCTCGGGGCTTATCCCAGGCTCCTTAACCACAGCCCGGGGCTGGGAACGGGACACACCGTGCAGCACTCCCTGCCTGTGCCGTGCTTGCTGTGCTGCACTCCCGCTTCGCCCCGTTTCCAGCCCAGGAGGGTTTGGAGCCCCTGAGCTCAGCAGCATTGCCAGTGTGGGCATCCCAGGGCCCCGACAGTGGCACGGTGCAGCGTGGAATGGTGGGCAGAAGCACCGGGTCAGGGGGTGTGGTGTCCCCACTGCAGGGCCACTGTTCCACCAGCAACACTTGTCTCCCTCCCGCAGGATGCCGGGTCGCTGGATGCGGCTGTGCAAAGCGCTCTCCAGGCCCTGTACCCGCCCTTCGAAGCCACTGCTCCCACCGTCCTGGGCCAGGTGTTTCGGCTGCTGGAGACCAGCTACCAGGGGGATGGGCTCTGCTGCCTGCTCCAGTTCCTCATCCCAGCCAAGCGGCTCTTCGAGCGGCTGCGGCAGGCGGCCTGCGTAAGCCCCGTGCCCCACAGCAGTGCCCCCATGAGCCACTCTTGGACACCAGGGGTTTGCCCTAAGAAGTCCTGCCCGTGTGGGCATGCTGATCTGTGGGCTCACTCCCTGAACGTCCACTCCTTCTCCCATCTGCTCCCTGCAGAGGGGACAATGGCACACCCAGCTCCCTGGGATTTATCCAGCATATGTGGTCCCTGCAATAAGGGCGGGGGGAACTCTGGGGTCATCTTGTCTTGATCCTTAGATCCTAGAGAGGCTTAAGCCAGGGTTTTGCCTCTGTAAACGTGTGGGAATAGCCATGGCTCAGGGTGGGCTTGCAGGGCTGTGCTGCAAAGGTTTGACTCAGGGATGTGCATGGGGTCACCAGGCTCTTTCATCCTTATCATGGGGAGCACAGGGCCAGGCAGCAGGAGTGTGTGGGGGTGGCTGGGAGGCACAGAGCTGGCAGGGCTCTCTCATGCACTGTGTTCTTCCTCCCTTGCAGGCTCCCTACTTTAACCGCATCTTTCTCCATGAAGGCTGGCCCTTATGTCTGCACGAGAAGGTGGTTGTGCACCTCGCACCACTCAACCCCCTCCTGCTGCGCCCCGGGGACTTCTACCTGCAAGCAGAGCCCTGTGAGGAGCACACAGCACGTGTCACCATCAAGCACCTCTCCTTGGACCTGCGCTCAGTGGAGAAGACACTTGTCCCCGAGGCCACTCATGCACTGCTCTTCACCAACGCGTGGCTGGAGGAGGTGAACAGCAGCTGGGCTGGAGCTCCCCTGCACACCTGTCTGGTGGCCACCGAGAACGGCATCACCCCACTGCCGTGGAGCCGGATTGCCACCCCCGAGTTCACCGACAAGCCCAGGGCTGAAGCTGACAGTGTGCCCACTGGTGCCCGGCAGGAACCTGCCCCTGACACCGCACCTGAGCAGGCAGAACCCGGCACAGCTGTGCCCCATGGCACAGTGAATGTCCCCACACCCTACAACAACACTGCGGGCACCATCCCAGGCTGCAAGGCCACCTCTCGGAAGTCAAGCCAGGGACGATATCCGGGACTGATCAAGGTGGAGCAGACAGGTCTGCGGAAGAAGCCAGCCATGCTGGCTGTGCCCAGCCTCAGTGAAATCATCAGCCAGAACCTGGAAGGGGAGTATGTGGACCTGCTGGAGCAATCCCAGGAGGACCTGGATGTCCTGACCAGATGCCTGTTGCCCACCTGCCCTCCAGGGAGAATAAGGGCTGGGGCTGAGGAGATGCTCCCCCAGGCGAATGGGGGAGCAGGAGCAGACGCCTGGCCCTGTGGGGGAGCACTGAGCTCAGAGGACAGTCCCTGCAGCCCGTGCCTGGGGAGGAAGCTGAGCCAGGAGCCAGGGCCACATGGCCCAAAGTGCCGCCAGCGTGACTCCTACATGGCTGCACTGCAGAACCCGGTGAACTTCGGCTCTGGGCTGATGGCAGCCATCCTGGAGGAGCCAGACAGCCCTGGCTCCGAGCTGCCCCCTGCCACCCGCCGTGAGACCCCCGCACAGCAGAGGAAGGGGGCTGGCAGCCCCACGCTCCTCACCCGCCAGTCCCGCCGAGCCACTCCCGGGGTGCCGGGACAAGGGGGATTGGTGCAGCGGGGCAGCCCCCGGCTCCCCCCAAGTTCCAGCCACAGGTTCTCCTTCCTGAAGGGCACGTGGCTCGGGACAGCTTCCGAGGATGAAAGAGTCACCAGCCAGCACGAGGGGGCCTGGAAGAAGATGTCAGCCATCTACTCGCCCAGGATGAGCAGAGCCAGGGCAGCAGGGAAAGGTAGCATCCTGTGAGGCTGCAGCACCTTACCAGGCACTGCTGGGGCTTTGCTATTCCTCTTCCTCATTGAGTGTCGCCAGCTTCTCTCTCCTCTATCCCCATGCACAGGTACAAATGCAGCCACTGCTGCTCCCGTGGAGGAACGGTCCCTGGAAAGTGTCAGCTGCAAGAATGGTCCCTCTGTGCCCAACACTGGCACTGCTGGTCGGGAGCCTCCAGCCTGGCAGGACCTGCATGCTGGGCTGCTGCGCTCAGGCATCATCTGCCTGCCAGGTACTGCTGGCACCACGAGCCCAGGGAATGGGCAGGAGAGGCCTCTGGATGGAAACACAGGCTGCTGGAAAGGGTGTTTTGGAGGAAGGTTTCAGGGTTTTGCTGGAGGCCAGAAATACTCCAAGCAGAAAATTTCCTTTCAGCTGGGCAAAAACATTAAAAACATAAATGCAGGCAGCCTGTGCAGAGCAGCTGCCCCAGTCCCAGCCGCCCCAAGCCCTCCCACACCATTCCTCTCCAGTGAAGCTGTTCAGCTTTAGCTGCCAAACACTAAACATTTGGCTCCTTCTTTTTCCCAAGAACCAAAAAGCAGTAACAAAACCCATCTTTTTCTCAGGAAAAATGTCCCCAGCAGCTCTGGAATTCCAGGCATTCATGCCAAGAGCCCCCCTGGGCTGGCTCTCCCCCTCCAGAAGGGCCAGAGAGGCTGCACCATGGGGGGCCCTGAGCTGAGGCAGCACTGATCGTTACCCCAGCCTGTTTTGGGGTGCTCAGATCTGTCAGGCAGCTGCCAGAGGGGTCACTCACCCTTTCCCCGCAGGGAGCTCAGACAGGCTGGGCAGGGCCCTTCTCCTGGTGACTACCAGCGGCAGTGCCTGGCGGGCTGCATGGTGCTCAGCTGCCGAGCTGACGAGGCTCATCCTCTACCTCTGCTCCCTCCCCAGGTAAGGGCCAGCAGGTCCTGCCAGTGACCCCCAGCTGCTGCCTGGCTCAGGGCTCCCAGGCAGCTCCTAGGCTAAGTTGGGATGGATGCCCAGCATCCCACACACTCTGGTTTGGGCACATCCCCGGGACCCTGGACCATGCCCCTGCCAGAGGCACACACTCTGAACCTTTGGCAGGGGCATCCCACAGGGGCGAGGCCATTGCCTGTGGCTGTGGGTGCAGAATGTGGGAGGGGGCTTTGAGAGGGTCCTGCCCCAGGGAAGGACCCCCACTCCTGCTGTGTCTGCCCTCGCCAGGCAAGAAGTGAAGAACGGTGAGAGGCGAGAAGCGAAAGATGTTGGGCTGACAGTTGTGGTGGATGCCAGGAAGCAGCCACCCTCTCCCGTCCTATTCTCAGCCCTCCGCTCTGTCCAGGTATGCTGGGCTCTGTGTGCTTGTGCCATAGACATGCCAGGGGTGCCCCTGTCTGGGTGGGAGTGCTGCCACCCTTCGGGGTCCCTTAGAACCTCTCCCTGTGCCCACTCTCCCTTCTGAGCCCTGCCATCACCTGGCAGGTGTCACCAAGAGCCCTCCAGCATCCTGCTATGTGAATTCACCAGGAAATGGGCTCTGCAATGACAATCCACTCTTGTGGCAGAGTCCTTATGCCAGTGCCCAGGTAGTGCCACAGGAGTGTCCTGTGCTGTCCAGGGGCTATGGGGCCCCCCCTGCCACAGCACCCTTTGCATGCCCGATAAAACCCACATTGGCCCTGATGCTCCTCACATGGAGAAGTGTCACTGGTGTGAGAGAAGGTGTTCACTCATGAGGCTCTTCCCATGGCTCTTTGCCAGGGAGCTGGTGGCTGGGACAAGGTCATGGCCTGAGTGACATGTTTGCATCTTCCACACCAGTGAGAGTGGGAGCCTTTTCCTTTGCAATGAGCTCACCAGCCTCAGCCAACCCAGGAAAGCCCAGCAGTGCCATGGGTGACCTGAGGGCTGCGTGTGGGGTTTGCCCTGGTGATTCTCCCCTGCCTCCCACAGAGTGTCTCTCCAGGCTCCATCCACAGCATGCTGCTCCTGGCTGAGAAGGAGCTCGTCTCCCACCGTGAGAGGCTGTCTGGGGTGCAGGTGAGCCTGTCCCTGTCCCCTGGGCTGGTGCAGTGGGGGTTATTCCCTGCTCCAGGCAGCTTTACAGGCCCTATGCCCTGCAGGTGGAGACCCTGACATCGCTGAAGGCTCTGGGCCGCCACGTCGACAGCTCCCAGCTGCCCCCAGAGCTGGACGGTGCCTTCCCCTACTGCCACGGCGAGTGGGTTCAATTCTTCCAGGTGTCTGTTACCACACCATGAGCCATTGCCTCACCTCCCCCGTGTCCCTCTGTCCCCACTGCGTCTTACATGTCCCATACACGTGTCCCTGGAAAAACAACAGGAAGGGTTGGGAGAGGGGAATGAAAGGGAGAGCTTTGAGCACAGGAGGGTCAAGCTCCTTCCTACCTGCTCCTGCCTGCAGCTGCCCATCCACCTCCACAATCCCTTCTTCATCACCTTTAACCCAGTGCCTCACAGTATTTCCTGCTCTGTCCTGGCACTTCTCTTCCTCCTCCTCCTCCTCATGGTAGGCTGCCCCTGCTGACCCACCGTGTGTGTCCCCCACAGAAGCTGCAGCCCTTCACAGTCAACCTCAGGCGGGCATCGGAGCTGCTGCAGCGCTGCATCCAGGAGCTGCGGAACACCGACGCACTGGCAGGGACACAGGTAGCAGCACCACAGGTTGGGGACATTCCCAAAGTGCCCATCTGCAGTGCAGCCACAGCAACATTTCACTCCAGTTGCCCAAAACTTGTCAAAACTGCTCCCAGACTGGTTGCTCCTGGGGCTGTTCCCTGTCCCCTCTGCTCCTGCCTGGGGTGCAGCCCCAGGTACCCATCCTGTGATGGCTGAGACCCCAGATGAGGCCGCAGGTAAGACATTTGTCTGACCCTCCCTTCCTCCACAGGATGCGGCTGCAGGCATCAGGAAGCACCAGGAGCTGATGCAGAAGGTGCTGAGTGAGCCTCAGCTGGTGCGGGTGCAGCGCGAGGGTGGGTTCGTGCTGGCCAGGCTGCGCAGGGAGGCCGCTCGCCTCTGCGCCTCCGACCACATCAGGTAAAACGGGGCAGTTCTGCTGCTCAAGGGGTGCCAATGCCAGGGACCCCCGGCTCCTGCTGGCTGACAGAGCCACCTCCCCATGGACAGCTCACTCCCCATGAGCCCGAGCTATTGCCATGCTTGGTCCTGCTCTGGAAGCATGGACCACAGGTCTGGGACAGCCCATTGCAGGAGTCCCCTTATCCTCACTGGTGCCAGATCCCTGAGAGGGTCTCCTGTCCCAGGCCAGGCCAGATCTGTCACTCTCTGCAATGCCGGCAGCAATGCTTTGGGCTGGGCTCTGGAGGAGCCACTAGATGGGGCCAAGTCCCGGCCGTGCCGCACCCGGCGAGCTGTGCTGTGCTCGTGATCGTCCAGGGATGTCGCACTTGTCTGGCCACGCCACACTCATCCAGTGATGCCATAATCGGGCCGTGCATGGCTCCTCTGGCCATGCTGTAGTCATCCAGTAATGTCACCCCCACCTGGCTGTGCCATACTCATCCAGTGATGCTGTAATCTGGCCATGCTGTTACTCATCCAGCCATGCTGTAATTGGGCCAGTCCATTCTCACCCAGTGATGTCGTTCTTGGCCAGTAATGCTGCACCCATCTGGTGATGCTGCACTGGTCCAGCCATGCCACGCTGCTCCATAGCCCATGCATCCAGGCAGCACTACTCCTTCCTGCTCCCTTCTCTCAGTGGGGCTGGCCTGCACCTTCCTATCCCATGGTCCCTGCCATCCATTTGTTCCATGGGCTGGGGAGATGTCCAGGTGCCTGAAGGGCTGGGGTCAGCAGCTGAGCAAGAAAACTGCTCTCTTCCACCTTGTGCATCCAAGAGCTCACCTGGCAACAGCTGGCACTGATGGCCCCTCTCCTCCCAACCCCCAGGACCGGTATGGAGTTGGCTGAGGGGCTGTATAGTCAGCTGGAGGAAGAACTTCACAACCTCGTGTCCCAGTCCAACAGCTGCCTGGAGCATCTGGAGTTCCTCCGCAAGGTCCGGGGGCTCGAGACTGAGTTTAGCAAGGTGAGCTGGGTGTCCCTAGGGTGCCACACATTTTGAAGTTTCCCTCAGTGGTGTTCCATGGTTGAGTGTTTTGGTCACGTTTCCTTTGCTTTCGATGATGACGAAAGCCTGGAGGCATTCCTGGAGCTGAGGATTGCCTGAGCTTTGACTTCCATTAGGGGAGACTGTGTGTGACTGAGCCTGGGCTGGGATGCCCGGCAGGGGCAGGAAGGGGAGGTGCTGTGGACACGCTGCTGCCGTGGCTGGTCCCGCCTGATCCCTGCTCCGCTCTCTCACAGCTGGGGTCCTGGCTGGATGGGGAGGCAGCGGCTCGGCTGCAGGAGATGGGCACCGAGGACTGGAGTCCCAACAGCTGCCAGGGCTCCACTGAGCACTTCAAGGAGTTCTTCATCCAGGCCACGGTACGTCTGGAGGGGCTTTTCTGTGACAGACACCCCTTGGGTTTGGAAAGAGGCTTCTGGACAGAACTGGGTGTCTCCAAGCTGTCGAGTCACACTGCAGTTGTCAAGCTCAGCATTGCGGGGACTCCAGGCAGTTCTGCTCCAGTGAGGGGGTGGCTGCACTGTTCCTTGATGTGTGCTGGGCTGGGACTGCTGTCCCCAACCCCTGCTGCACTCCATCCATGCAGCTCCTTTTTCCTACAAAGCCTGAGCATGCATCAGACAACAAATAACATTGTGATGAGGATCTTCTGGTTCCCTGGATGTGTAGGCCCTTTAGTCACCAACACTGCAGGGAGGATGAGGCACGGTGACCCCACCTGGGACAGAAGCTGCATTTGGTGCATTTTGAACAAGGCAAGGGCAGAGCAGAGATTTGGAGAATCCCATTGTTTTGTTTCTTGTCACTTGCCCAGAAGTGTTTCCCATCCATCTGTAATGGCGATGTCAAGTGCTACCTGCAGCACATCCCCCTGTGCACATATTCCAGGTCAGCACCATTCCCAAGTGTGGAGCTGTTCCTTCCTCTTGTCCCTGCAGGCTCGGTACCAGCATGGCCTGACCCTGTGCCAGGAGGCAGCTGAGGTCCAAGACACGACGTTCCCCGAGGCAGATGCCTTCCAAGTGGCTGCAGCCCTTTTCCAGTCAAAGCTGATGAGCTTCTCCAAGCAGCTGGAGCAGCGGCAGGCAGAACAGGAGCTGCTGCAGGAGCTCATCCGGTTCTCCAACAAGGTGGGTGGAGGGAATCTTCTCCTGCAGAACATGGTGTTGCTGGTGGCCACAAAACCAGCCACTCTCACCTCTTGTAGGTGGCGGGGCTGAAGCTGGACTGCCGGCAGTGCTCGGCGCGGGCGCAGCGCGGGGAGGGCCAGGCACTGCGGTGCCTGCAGACGTCCTTCCAAAAGCTCTCGGTGGAGTTCGCCCTGGAGAAGCTGAAGGAGATGAAGGCTCAGGTGCGCAGGATGCAGAGCAGCCAAGGGTTGGCAGCCTGGACAGAGGCACAGCACAGGTACCAGGAGACCCGGCAGATCCTGGAGGAGATGCTGGCAGAACTGCAGGAGGCCTGGGGAGCACAAGCTGATGGGCACGGAGACTCCTCCAAGCCAGCAGTGTTGGGGGACAGAGGGTTGGCAGAGCAGCCAGAGACCAGCACTGGGGGGCAAGGACAGCCCCAGGGGCCAGAACAGTCCCAGCCCAGCACCACTCCTGACTCCACGCTGGGTGTGGAGCAGAGTTCTCTGCAGCCCCACTGCTGGCTGGGGTCTCAGAGTGCCCAATCCTCTCATCACCACATCTCTGCTGACACCCTCCATCCCAAACCCAAGAGCAAAGTCGGCCTGGGAGTGGAAGGACACCTCACCCAGGAGCACAGCCGGTCCCCTCGGAGGCGTCCCTTCACCCTGCCTCCCTGGATACGCTTTCCAGGTGCTGACCCACCATGTCCTACTGCTGTGCCCCATGGGACTGCCTCAGATGCCAGCACACCTGGTGCAGCAGCAGGGCCACGGGCAGAAGCTGCCCAGTACTTCCAGATTTCCAGCCAGAGCAGTTTCTCCTCTGAAGATTCAGATTCACAGAACTCTGTGGAAGAAGCCCCAGCAGCAAGCCTGGCTTTGCCCAGGGACCTCCAGAGTCCCAGACCACCCTGCTCACCTGAAAAGGCCCACCAGATCATTTACATGGAGAACCACCACGCTGATCGTTCAGCTAAAGCAAATGCCAAGTAACCAGTTCCTCCACAGGGCTGTTTCTGTCCAGCTGCATAAGTCTCGATCACAGACTGGATGAGACTTCCCATGCTCAAAGGTGAGATGCTGGAACTTCTTGCCCCACCCTCAATCCCAGAATCTTTGGTTCCCTGTCCTTAGCGCCCTCCCTGCCGTGGGTCAGCAGTAATTCCATCACCAGCTCACAGGGTTCATTCACAATCTACCAAATGTGTAGCAATCCTCCCATAAAGTGCCTTTATCCCTACCGGTACCAGCCTTGTCTCAGGCAGTGGGGTGGGTTCCCACATTAGAAGCTGTGTCTGGAGCATGCCAGGGCAGTGCAGACCTGTGAGATGTTCCTGTCACTGGCTGTGTCTCTGCTCCACTGGATGGTTTTACCATCCCTATGCCGCATCCCTGGCTGAGCCCCAGCAGCCCTGGGTTTGTGTGCGCTCATTAAGATGGGACTAACTCCATTAACATTAATAAACCTGAAGAGAAGCACCTGGATGGTCCTCATGGAGGAGAGTGAGAAGTTGTGTCCCACTGAGACCCAGCTGCTGGGCTTCTCACCCAGGTTCCAGCTGCTCCCACCACCCCAGCACAGTACCCACAGGCAGCTGGTGCCACCAAGAATGCCCCCTGTGCCCCCTACGTGGGCTGTGCCCACAACCTGGCTCTCCTCTTTGCTGCCAGCACCTTGTTCCTGCTCAAAGGACCCTTCTGTAAGGGTTAAGTGCCTCAGTCTCTTGTTCTCCCTCCCAGTACATGAGCAGAGTGGTGTCATCCTGCCCAACCTTCCCACTCTGTTTTGGGAACGCACTGTCCTGAAGCCTTTGGGACCCGTTTGGCCTGGGTGCAACCTTGCTGATCCCAGTCCAAAGCTGCCTGAGGTCCCCAGAGACCCTGTCCCTGCAGGCGTGTCCCCGCACTGCCCGTTTGGGCATCCGGGAGCGGGTGACGGCGGGACCCTGACTGCCGGGGCCAGGCACTGGCCGGCCGCCCCCTGGGCAGCCACAGCATGAGCTAATCAAGAGACATCAGAGGAGAAGCAATCTCTGCCTTGGAGGCTGTTCCAGAAAAACACACTCCTCCTCCTCCCAGCCCAGCGCAGTCATGGCTCGCACCCTGCGGGATGCTGCGCCTCGGCAAAGGGCGCTCGCCCATCCCAGTCTGGCTGAGCATCACTCATACCCCCCTCAGCCTTGTTTTTGCCAGATCCTCGAGCCAAGCCCCGCTGAGCTCCTTACAGCCCCAGCTGCCCCCCGTGGGCGCCACGCTCCTCCTGTCTGGGTCATTCCTGAAGCATTAACGGGACCGACCCCGGCCCTGCCCTGTCACAAACTCTGCCTGTCACCACTCATAGTCCTACCCAATTGTCTGCTCTTTACTTCTCCCTACAATTTGTTTTAGACTCCATCTTCCCCAGCTCAACATGGGTTTCCCTACTGACAATTCTGTCCCCTGCTCCACTGAAATCCTGGTCACTGACTCCATCCCATTCCTTTTGGTTTAAAAGTCATTGTCCTAGAGAACCCAGACAAGTCAGCCCAGCCTGTCCTGTGCAAGCCTGGAGTTCATTCCATTCTCCAGTAATGCCACGTCCTGAATGGCACCAAGGTCACCGAGCCAGGACATTCCTACCTCTTCATGATATCTCCCTGCTCCCCATCCCTGTGCCCTACAGCTGAGTGTGCCCACTCCCCATCCCATGTGGCCAGTGCAAGCCATGCCCACCTGCATGGGGCCCAGCTCACTGTGAGAGCCAAAAATCTTTCCTCCCTCCAGCATCATTCCAAGCCAAGCCTGAAAGTTCCCTTGCTCAATTTTCCGCTCCGTTGGGAGCTGATCTGCTGTATCCCCCCATTACAGCTTTTAGGTTGGAGAAGTAGCACTTTCCAGCAAGAAAGAGAGTCATTTTTCAAACCAGATGGAATTATGCTTCTTCTGAATAAAGTAAACAGTGGTTTTCCTGTTGTTTTCTTTTTCCATAAGTAAAATAAAAGGGGATATTTTGCAAATCCTGGGTTTAACTGATAACAGAAAAGGGAATTTCCAGCCTGTCTGGAGGGTGAATCGTTTCCCTGGAAGAGTCCTGGGCACTGAAGAGCTGACAGCCCCCACAGCTGGGTGGGCATACCCAGATCCCTCCTTCCCTCCTACCAAAAAGTGTTTTGCAACATTCTGCAAAAATTTTCTTATCTCTGCTGATCCTTTAGCACATGATTTATTACTCCCAAGTTTGACCAATTAAGCCATAACCTTTCCAGAAAGGCAAGTACAGGAGTTAATCAATGTCTCCTTTCCCTCGTGAAATGGCAAAATCATTTGTCAGGGGCTGGCAAGGATCCAGCAGTGTGGTCTGGTCAGGGTCTGGCAGTGGTCTGGAGGGTGCAGACCATCCTCCAGCCTTGGAGAGAAGCTCCCACAAGATCCCAGGAAATACTTTTTTCCAAAGGAAAAAAGGTCTATAATGTTGGATACAGGAGACAACAAAACCAGCTCAGAGAAGTGGAGGGCCCATGGATCAGGCACAGATCCCAGCTCCAGGGAATGACCTTCTCTTCCCCATGGCAGCTCCTGGGTCAGCCATTCCCCCTGTGGTTCCTGAGCCCTGCTCCAGCACAGCTGACAGTACATGGGCTGGCACAGAGCAGGAAGCTCTGACTGGACTCTTCATCCTCCTCCTCACCACCAGATTCCCATCAAGCTCTGCCCTAGCAGGGGCTGGATGGTCGCTGTGTTCAATTGTGACAAGACAGAGGGAAGAGGAAAAAAAAAGAAGAGGAAGAGCAAGCAGCACTGGGGCTCCCACACTCCCAGCCACTGCCACAGCTGTGCCCTGTCCCAGTCAAGGAGGAAGTGTGGGAAATAGGTGGCAAGGCAGAGATGCAATGGCAACAGCATGTGGAAAGATTCAGAGTCCCCCCAGATGGGCTCCCCAGCAGCTCTGGTGCCAGCAGAACCACCACAGGCCCATTCCTGCCCTGGAATCCCCTGGAACTGGGGCTCAGTCACAAACGGCCATGAGAGTTCAGAAGCACAAGTTGGGGGTTTGGTCCGTGCCACAATAGGAACACTGTCTTGCCTGGATTTGTCCTCCTGGGTGACAGCCAGGGCAGTGGGTCTGGTTTCAGCAGGTAAACACAGAGGCAGCTCTGGGTGCAAGAGGGAGCTGAGCTGTGGGACAAGGACACCAGTTCAGTCCTGGCTTTGGGACGTGGCTGCAAGAAGAAGTATCCCAGAGAAGCTTCATTATCTCCAATGAATTATCTCTGGCAGAGCAAATGGAGGTCTTGCCTGTCACTGAGCTGGGGTTTCTGATGCTCTGGGGAGCTGCAGGATAGCAGTAAGAAACAGAAAACCAAAGAAACCAGTGATACCAGAGGAAAACAGGAAGGGTGAAGGGTAACGCCAAAGGATAGACCTCCAAGGGCTGGACATAACTCAATCTGATCTGAGCTGGCCAGGGAAAGGCCAACCCAGCTGCTTTCCAAACTCCCAGCTGTGCTGCATCCCGAGGGATGGGTGGAAAACGCTTTTGGCAGTGCTCGCTCCTGCGGATTCCCACCCTGGGGAGATGATGACAGGACAGTCGGGCACAGGTGACCTGCATGGGGGACACACACAGCTCATGTGTTAGCCCTGGGGAACCACCCAGCTTCAGGCATCAAATTTGGACATGTGAACTCACTGAGGAGCACAAGCACCCTATGGACCAACTGGGGAGCACAGACCCTTCCTGTTTCCTCCCGCAGACCCGTTGGAGCCTGCAAGCCATTGTCTCAGGTGGTGAGGGATTACCGGGAAGCAGCGCCCTGGGGGAACAGGTGCCCTGGGGAGGGAGGGCTGGAGGGGGTCCAACAAACTGCTGGGAAATGACAGGCAGAGGATGGAATTCAGTTTGCACCAGGTACAGCCAGATCAGTTTGCAAAACATTGTGTTTGGCTCATGACTATCCTGGCAGGGGATGAGAGCCCATCCTGCAGCACTGCAGCCCACTCTCAAGTGCTGTGGGACCCTGCCACAGTGGGACTGGCATTGTGGCCGTCCTGGGGCCACCAGCAAGGAAAAGTTTGACACAGCTGGACAATCCATGGCCCCTGCATGCACTGCTGCTGTCCAACACAGAACCCACCTCCCAGGGGCTCGCTCGGGAGCCTTGCCAGGGAATCCCCCAGCTTTCCTGCCCTCACTGTGCTTGCAGACCCAATAAATGCAGACTTTAGAGAGGGGTTTTTCTCTCATTTCTTTTAAATAAAGATACAGACTCTGCCTAAAAACAAAGTTACATAATGAATTCCTCCCGATCCCCCCCTGGAAGCGGGAGGGGGGCCTTGCACCAGGACTCCCAAGAGAAGCTGGTTATCAGCTGCTGGCCGATCCTTCCAGGGTCGTTCAGGCTCCACATTTTTCGGGAACAGCCTCTGGCTCAGCCTGTGCCGTGAGCTGGGAGCCAGAGCCGCGGACTGCGACCGACCCCACGGCACATCCCCGGCCCCGTGAGCCGCAGCTCCGGGGGACACCGGGGCGCACCACGCCTGCCCGGGGACCAGGTGCAAAAACAAGCCGCTTCTCCTCAAAAAGCCGCTTCTCCTCCCAAAGGAAAGTGTGCAGTGCTTGGCCCGGCAGGCAGCCGCCCACAGCTGGGAACAAGCCCCGCTTTATGCCGGCTCTAAAGCCCAGCAGCTCGGGAGCCCCGCGCTGCGCTGAGCCCGTCTTGCCCAGCCGCTGGCCCAGCGCCAGAGCCGCCTGTGGCAACCAGAGCCCCAAACCGAGCGGGATGCGGTCACCAGCCCCATCCTCCCTCGCCCCAGCCTCCGTGCCCTGATGGACCCTGCCGAGCACGTCTGGAGCAGCTCAGCTCTTCCATCCCAGCCTGGGGAAGTTCTTTCCCACGCTCACAGATCAGAGGTGCGAGAGGGGCAGTTGCTGCGTTTTTTGTGCCAGGATGCGCACACACAGCTCCCCGCTGGTCACGGGCATAAAGCGCTTTGTCCTCAAGTCACAGACGCTCACCCCGGATGGTGCCGGGCTCCCCACCGAGGAGCACACAGGTGCCCCGGCTTCGGGGGGCTGCAGGAGCAGCGGCTCGGCTGGGGGCTGAGTTCGGGG